AGATGGTATTGCTTGCCTCTATCCTTTCAATAGGAAGTAACAGGCAATTGTGTATGGATTCTGCAGAAAATATTTCAAGTGATAAATACTGTAGATGAAAAATTCATGAATGATGCAATCAGTATGAACTGCTGCCCCAGCTTTTTCATTTTGGGGGGGCTGTCAGCTACATCAGGTTTTTCTGATTTCTTTCTCTTCTTACTCTCTTCAACCCTTACACATCATGTTGTCTTCATTATTTTCATCTTGATGATGGCCACAGCAGGCAAGATCTATTACATGTTGCAGCTATTATTCGGAATTTCTTTGAAATGCTTAGAATGCAAGATGTAGTAGAAGAGTGAAATTTAGCTATTTTACTGAAAGGTGAAAGTGGAGCCAAGGTTTCCAAAACCAAAAGAAGAAAACTTGGTGAAACAAATGCTGCATTTCCAGACTTGAGAGATTTAAAATAGAAAATTCACTGATAATGAAGAAGCACTCTAATTCTGCTATCTCTTTTAAGTGGCTCCCAAAGAGGAAAGATTTTTCTTTTCCTTAGAGGAATTAGAGGACTAAAGATATAGAAATGAAAGTGCTAGCAGTGGGCCAAAAGCAAACAGAGAACAGAATTTAGTATCCTGATAATGTGGAAAGTAAATGCTGTTGAATCAAGCTGCTCTCTGGACAAGATTTTAAAAACTACTAAGTAAATTTATCCAGTGATGATGTGTGCATTCTTGAAAAAGCTGCTGTGAATGTTCAAAGGAACTCAGGCTTAAGTGATATGCAAAGAAACTATGGTAAGGGGTGATGACATAGAACAAGTATTAATAGAGGCAAAATGATGCACTAATTTTCCACAATGTACCACAAAATTAAGAAAAAAAGACAGTAAATTTCAGGAACAGCTAAAAACAGCAGGTGAATTCCCTTATCTACAGTCATCTGAAAAACAAGAAAGAACTTCAACAACATAATCAAGCTAGAACTAAAATTCTGTATGAATTAGAATTCCACCAAATAACTCCATATTAGGAAGTATACTGAATATATAAGTTGAGTGAATATAGCTTTAACATCTACAAGGTAATACAAGTGTGTTATCTAGAGAAATATATCCCACAGGTGAGAAGATTCTTAGATATATCATCCTGGAACCACACAATAATTCTGACATTGCAAGACACTTGTTTTAGAACAAAGTTCTGAACTAAGTTTAAAGTTGATCGGTCCTTTCATTCAGAAATGAAGAAATTAATCTTATTTTAATGACTGCAGTACACTTTGCAAATAGAAGCCCAGTCTGAGCACTAAACAAAAGAGACAAAATGAAATTTTCCTTCATGATTAAGGATTATTGTTCCATTTCAAACCTTTTGTGAAAACAAATATTGCATTTTAAAAAGACTAGTGTTTTGAAAAAGTTAGTTGTATTCACAGTTTTTTGGAAACCCATAAACAATGTTGGATGCAAGAATATTGAAGTGAAATCCCTCATAATACAAGTGTAACTGAGCAAGCTCATTTATTTGTCTATCATGATTGAACAGAAATGCAGGAGGGAATTTTAAATTTTAGGTTTATTATTGTAGTTTCAATATTTCCTTACCTTAGCAAACTGCAAATATATTCTTTAGAAGCGAGGTTCTTACTAATTTTGACATTTGCCCTTTAATCAAACATGAAGGGACTGGGTGGGGTTTGCCAAAGGAAATGCCAATACCTTAAACATCAATGCAAACTGGTAAATATTTAAACATAGGAAGTCTCAGTGAGCCTTCTTCTAAAGAGCATTTTCAGGATTGGGCCAAAATGAAGAAATGACACATGAACAACAAATTAAGAAACTGCAGTAAATTTCACAAGAAGTAGGCTTGAAGAATTTGATAGTGAGTCATAAGGGAGTTAGCTTCAACAAAATCCTTCATGTAGAGGATGATGCAGAGCAATTGTCCTGCTAACTGAGAATATTCACAGTGCTAGCAAAACCATAGCCAAAAACAAGTTTTCTAGGAACTAAACAAGTCCTATTTAAACAACTCTTAGCATCAAATATGAATGTAACTCATCAACCAAAGCAGTCTAGGAAAATAGAAATAGGTTAATTAGTTGCAGGAAATACTAGTGTTGAGCTCACTTCTGAATGGAGAACTTCTGAGTATATTACTTATTTTTATAATGAATGATTAAAATAATCTATTTTTTCCATTCACTGTGACTGCTCCATTTTGTATCATTAGGGAATAGAGATTTATACATTCAAGTATTTGCCAAGGATCCAACGTGGGATGTAAGGGTTATTTAGCGTATAGGAGAAGAAAAACAAAACAAAAAAACAAACAAACAAAAAAAAAAAAAACACACAAAAAAAAACCAAGACTGTACAAGCTGATTTACACAGTGGGCCTTGCCCACAATGGGCTAATTAACCTTAAGAAGATGCAAGATGAAAGAGGCTAAAAATCCATCTCAATTGACAGTGCACTGTGTATGCTATGATACTAATGATTTATGTTTATCTCAAAGAAGAGATAATTTGTGGAAATTGGAAAATAAGGAAAGTGAGTTACTATGGATCAGTAGGCCTATTTACCTGGCATTCTGCTTTTATATTATTAACAGAGAAATGCATAGATTCTGAGGTTGAATTAATTCTAGTAGTTTAAACAGTACCAGGGAATATACTCTACAGATTGAACTCGGTTATTTGTAAAGATAAACAGTGAGAATGGTCAAGTGCATAGTTTTGTCTAAGGCCAAGTAACGTTCTCAAAAACAGCTCTTTGAAACAACTGAAAGGCTACCATGGTTGTGCAGCCATTCACCATCAGCCCTTTGCGCATGGACTCACTTCCTATTATTGAGAGTAAAAGAATGTAATAATATGTTCCCACGCAAACTTATTTTAGCATTTTAGACAAAACCCATTTTAGCTGAAAGTTGACCTAAACAAATTTACAAAGGCTGCTCCTATTTTATTATGTTGGCCCATGACTTCAGAGCTGAGTGTTGGTTTTATGGCAGTAGAGTCTGAACTTTCCTGACAATATTCAGTTAACTTTAGTTGCTGTGTGATAAATGGCAGTAGAGGAGCAGTCTGACATGGAAGTTGTATGAAACAAACATGTATCATTGAACTCCCCCATGCAAAAAAATGGCATTCATTGGCATTCATCAACACTGGCTGAATGCTATGGATACCAAACAGTGAGTGTGAGCACAGTGAAGTGATGGGTGTTGCATATCAGCAATGGAGACAGCAACATGAAAAACAAGCCACATTGTGGACAGCCATGCATAGCTGTCACCACACAAAATGAAGAGCACTTCAATCAGCTCATCCATGTGAATCAGCAGATTATGACCAGGGAACTGTTTATGGAGCTGAGTATTGGCTTCAATGTCTTGGAAACAACGGTGGAAACATTGGAATATCACAAAGTTCGCAACAGATGGGTCCCATAATTGCTAACATATGAACAGAAAGAACACCATATGCAAGTTTTGCAGGGGCTAATGAACCAATTCAAGGCAAAGGGTGACAGTTTCCTGGATCACATCATTACTCATGATTAAATGTGATATCACCACTACAAGCCAGAGTCAAAACAACAGGCCATGAAGTGGTGATATATGAATTCCCATTGAAGAAAAAAAATTGAGACACAGCCCTCAGTGAATAGAGTGATGTGTGCACTGTCATTTCAGATAGGAAACGAACGATCCTTTTGGATTTCCTGGAACCCAAACTGACCATCATCTCTGAATGTTACTTTGTGATGCTGACTAAGCTGAGCTTGAACTTCCAGAGACAGGCTGGAGAAGACTTCTTGCAGCCCATAACCAGGAGCCATACCAGTTTGAAGACCATGGAGCACATTGTCATTCTTGACTGGACTGTCCAACCACATGGTATAGTCCAAATTTGACACCTTCTGATTTCTATCTGTTCAACTGATGAAAGATGGACTGTATGGGCAATGTCTTCCTAGCAATGATGTCATCATAGCAGTACGAAACAGTGAGGTATCTCTGCCATGCTTTTGCTCATCACTGTTGAAATGCATAGCTAATGCTAATGGCTATGTTGAAGAATAGTGTTTTGCAGCTGAGAATTTGCTCTATCAAATAACACTATTGTGTTCTTTTTATCTGTAGTAGTTTCCATGGAAATAAGAAGGAGGAATTACTTTCAGAGTATGTTCAGATCTATTCAGATATATGCATTTAACAAAGTTATATGGAGAAACCATATCTATAATTTTAATGAACAACAACCAGCCATTTTTGGACCTGGACACTGTATGCCATTAAGAAGGAAATACAACAACTTTATATTTCCTTTATATGCACTCTCTGTGCCAATAAATATTTTACAAAAGCCAGAGGGCAGTCAGCCAGAAACTCCATTGAGGAAGCCATTCTGATCCAATGAAGAGAAAAGTGAGATACTTTGACCACTACTTAGGGAAATAATAACATCGTCATCATTAATCAAAGCAGAGATGGGTAGCAGAAAAGATACTGCTATAGTCTTAGTTTGCCTAACAACACTAGCGATTAAGCCCTTACCTCATTTGCCAAAGTTAGTTGTTTTGTAAAAAAAAAAAAAAAATTAGATTACTAGCAAGTTCAATTACTTGATAAAATGAGGTGAAGCGTCTTAACCAACTTCCTACCTCTGCTGTGCATGTATTTGATATAAATGTGTAAAATTTGAGGATCAGTCAGAGAACTTCAGTCTGCAATGCTGCACTCACAGTGAACTCTGGAAAATTGAAGCCTACTACAAATAAAAATAATAAGTTCATCCATTGAGGACTAAACAAATCATTCTACATCTTGATTCTCTAACTTCTATTACATTTATTTTAAGAGGAAGTATTTTCCAATGTGAGCAAAAACCAGCCAGCAGAGTTACGTGTTCACTTTAAAAGCACAAATCCAAGCAAAGTGGTGTATGTCTGTAATGTCTTTAAAAACTAGGAGTAGAAGATATATTCAGAAACTTCTGAAATTTGGATCATATTGAAACTACCATTAATAATCACCTTCAACAGAAAACGTATCTATTCTAATTATTCAGAAATATAGTACAGGGTTTGGGGCAGAATTTTTTAGTGTTTATTGTGAATTAACAGATTACACTGTCTTAAGGGGTGGACTAAATGCCTGATGAAACACTACAGTGGAAATGACTATTTTGTACTTCATCAGATGTTACTTAAAATACATGCGTACAAAGATTTTACAGACAAAATTCTAACCCACATTTTGCCTACAGTGATATTATTCAGAAAAACAACAACAACAAACAAATGAAAAACCTCCAATAACAATGCTATTGCTATATTTTTGATGTTACAGAAGCCTAATATGAGCTCAAAAACATTTCTGTTTATTAGATTTCAATTAAAACCTATATATTCTGATTAGGGGAAATCAGATCTATCACCCAGTTTGCAGTGACAATCTTGTATGGCACTGGATACACCTCATTGCAATACTTTTTAGCTACTCACAGAATCATATAATCACAGAGTGGAAGGGATCTCTGGAGTTTAGCTAGTCTAACCCCTTCTCAAGCAAGGCCACCTAGAGCAGTTTGCTCAGTCCATATCCAGGTGACTTTTGAAGATCTCCAAGAAGACTTCACAATCTCTCTGGGCAATCTGTTCCAGTGCTCCATCACCCAATAATGTGAATGCACAATATACTGTTTTAGAAGGGAATGTGACTACACAAGATGACTACACAAGATTATAGACTTACTGTTCGAACTTTGCGGAAATCCAGGTAAGGAGGATGGACCATTCATTCCAGGTAGAAGAACAGGAGGAAGGCCAGGAAGTCCTGGATAAGCTGCTGGCAAACTGATGCCATGAAGAGAACTGCTGTCCATCATGCCCGGCTGCTGTACTGTTAATCCTAGCACATCAGTAGCCTTTTTTATGCGATCCAATTCTTGCTGCGCCATCAGCTGTCTAACTGTTGTAGGAGCTAAATAATCTTTCTCCCGATCTAGCTGACTTCCCACAGTTTCTCTCACTTTTGTAATATGCTGTTTGGAAAAGATATGATCTCTTATGGACAAACGTGCTGAATATTTTATAGCACATAGAGAGCATTCTGGCTTTGTCCCATCGGGCCCAGTCTGATTTATCATGAATGGCTTCCCTATGTTAATTTTGAATTTCTTTTCTTTTGCCCGTGCGTTCTGAAACCAAACTTGGACTACACGTTTGGGCAGACCAATCTCATTCCCTAACATTTCGCATTCTTGCATTGTTGGAGTCCGGTAGTCACTAAAGCAAGCTTTGAGAACTTTAAGCTGAAGGTTACTCATTTGTGTTCGGAAACGTTTGTGGCCTGGCCGATCACTGTTTTTGGATTTAAAGGGATTGCTAGCTCCAAAAGGGTTAGGTGAACTTGGATCAGCTATGCTTGAAGTTTCACTGCGGTCGGCATTATCATCAGGGTCATCAGTAATGTAGTAACTTTGGTCATGATCACCATCTTTTTCACTGAAATGTATTGAGGGGCTTGTAAGGGAAAAGAGAAATTTATCATCAGTATTCTCATTCGTAGGTGTAGTTGCAGCTTTTGTTAGCGCATCATTCACAAGTGTTTTTGGCTCTTTGGGAGGTGATGCAGGCTTTGCATCCCCTGAACTGCCAGTCGTACTCTCCATTTCATTGTTCCCCTCATCTCCTGTTGTGGCATCGCTAATTGCTGTATTAATTGATGAAGTCTCATCAAAGTCAGTCTTGTTTTGATCATATGCAGAGTCAGCAGGAGGAGCATTCAAATTTTCTATATCCTCGCTAGACTCTGCTTTAAAAGAAGAAGGACTTAAGAGATTTTTTGGTGACATTTCTGCAGTTTTGCTAATGGGCGTTGATACAGTGGAGGCTAGTTCATTTTCACTTGATAGTTCCGTTTTTGCTAATGACAATGATGGATAATCAAAAAATATGTATTTTTGGGGACTATCTCCTCCATCTTCAGTTGATATCAAAGGACTTGGAGGCAAACTATAACCGGCCTGTTTCCCTTCATTCCAATGTCGAGAGCGAATGTGACTTTCTAAAGCTGATTTTGCTTTAAACAGAGCTCGACAAAAAGGACACCTTTTATGGGACTGGGCTGGACCAACAGCACGGAACTGTCCTTTTCTTTCTCGGGCTCTTGTGTTCTGAAACCAGACTTGTACAACTCTCTTTTTAAGTCCCACTTCACGTGCAATGTGATCTAGCATCTTTCTGGTGGGGTTGGAATCTAACAGGTACTTTTCATAGAGTATTTCCAGTTGCTCTGGAGTAATTGTAGTTCTTAGACGCTTATCACGATGTTGATCTTCTCCACTGTTTCCTCCCTCTTTCTCACTGCAGTTATTATCTTCTTTATCATCCAGTTTTCGTTTCATGGAACCGGAAACTGTGGCAGGGTGTGCTGCATGTGATGAGCCAGTTTGTGGTGGCATCTGAGCAAGAGAACTATTAAGCAACTGTCCAGTCATCAAAGGATTATTGGGGTCAAATATCATATAGGGCATATCCATTGGTCTCTCTAGAAACTGTGAGTGAATAAATTGGTTTTGGGCTGCTAGGAAATGCATGTGCTGGTGCTCTTGCCAAAGTTCTAGAGTTGGAAAGGCAACTGTACACTGATCACATTGGTACTGTAATAACTGAGGAGGTAGACTGTTCTGTAGAGGAGTCATTGAAATTGGTAAAGGACTGGAAGGAACAGGTGTAGTCTGTGATGCAGAAGGAGGTCTCCCTATTATTTGTGATTGTTTTTGTTGCTGTGGTTGAGAAGCAGAGGGCTGAGGATCAGAAGGGGTTACTGGAGCAGATGGTACTGGTTTGGTACTTTGGGAAGTTGTATCAGTTTGCTTGGAGATGGTTTCATTTGGTTTTGGTTTTTCATTCGACTCTGGTTTAGGAGAAGCCTTCTCAGCCTCTGGTTTGGGGGATGGAATCAAAGGAGTACTAGAACCAGAACCAGAGCTTGCTGCCGTGACTGCCAGGCTTTTTGATGCATCGTTTTGGCCAGAAACTGTGCAGTTCTTATATACTGTTTGATCTGATGCATCCATGGAATCTTCAGTTTGGCTTTCATCTTGAGCATCATCATCTTCATCTTTATAACACTGCTTTTTCTGATGCGTAATCAAATCAAAGATCCTGGGAAAAACCACACTGCACTTTTTGCACTGATACTGCATGTTACTAGTTCGAATGTAGCGTTCATTCGTCAATTCCCTTTTCTCATTGTCCTTAGTTTCAGCTTGATTTTCATAACTTTTGCGAGCTTTCTGCCGTGCATTTTGGAACCATACAACAATAACTCGAGTAGGTAGGTTAAGAACAGTTGAAAGTTGTTCAATTTCATCATCCTTTGGATAAGCATTTGTATCAAAGAAGTCTTGGAGGACACGAAGCTGGTAATCAGTAAACCGCGTTCTAGATGACCTCTTGCTGAAAGATGCATCAGACTTGTAAGGTTCAACTGCTGAAGGCTGAGGATCTATTCTGATATCTTCCAACACTGTTATGGGAGGGTTGCTGAAGTTATATGGAGAATCTTTATTTCTCTGTCGTTCTTTAAACAGTGTATTACGAAACCAGTGCTTGATAACTTTCTGTGAAAGACCAGACTTCTCAGCCATTTCTTGGATCTGTTCTTCACTTGGAGAATTGTTAATATCAAAATAAGCCCGCAATATTTTTAACTGATCATCTGTGATTCGTGTACGTGGACGCTTGAACTGAGAGTGGCGCAGGAAATTAGGATCTAATCCCAGCTGCTGCTGACAAAGCTGGGTAAGATCTGCAGACAGAGTATCCATTGGTGGCAACTGGAGGGCAAGCTGAGGAGGCAGTGCAGGATGCTGCACTGGCTGCATCATAATTGGAGGGAAGAGTGGGAGATCAAGTGAAACAGGAAGCTGGACTTGAGGTGGGGCAGATGGTGGTGGTGGTGGTGGAGGAGGTGGTGGTGGAGGAGGAGGAGGTGGTGGTGGTGTTGGTGGTGGAGCTTGCAAAGGAGTGGGAGTTGTGTTCTGAATTTTTGCAGCCCCAGCTGAAGAAGGCTGAGAAGGAGTTGGAGGAGGAGGAGGTGGCGGTGGTGGCGGAGGTGGTGGTGGTGGTGGAGGTGTTTCTGGAGAGGATGGAGAAATTGGATAAAGCTTGTCATATGCCTCCCTGTACTGTCGAGCAAACTTTTCTAATGCCCCATATGGAAAAAATTGCCCATGCACATGTTCTTGATGACTCTTCAGAATAAGAATGTTGGAAAAGAGCTTACTGCAGGTTCCACATTCTAGTTTGTCTGTATTATCACCTTCACCAGTCTTGCTTTTTTTCTGCACTTTTTGTCTGTTCTCATTGTATTGGATAACTAGCTCAAAACCAAAGTTCTCCAATAAAGCCTTGGCTGCATTTCCCCTTGCTCCAGAAGCTATTCTGGGTGGTGGGATGGCTGGTTCGGAGGATTTTGATTTTTTCATATCTTTGTTTTCTTTCAGTCCTTCACTCTCATTAGTAAATTCTTGCTTTGGCTTCTCTTGTTTCTCAGAAATCTCTTCAGACTCCTTATATGATGGCATATCCTTTATCAACTGGCAGTCTGTGCTTACTAGGCTAGTTTGCTCTGCTTTCATCAGCTTGCTGCTTTGCTGCTGCTGTTTTTGGGACTGAAGTTGGGGTTGGGTGGATTGATATTGTTGTGCTTGTTGCTGCAGTATCTGTAGCTGTGTTTGACCAACATGGTGCTGGGTTTGTATCTGCTGCTTCAAATCTTCCAGCAACGATCCTGTCATACCAGCCATTCCAGGCATACCAAATGTGGCAGAACCAGGCAAACCCAGGTCTGGGCTTAAGCTAAATTCTGTCCCAGGTATATAAAATGGGAAAAGGAATTGAGGCTGCTGGAACTGTAGGAGTGCTTCTGGTGTCATTGGAAAGTGAGGCAAAAAAGCTGGGTTTAGAAATTGGGGTTGAAAGAATGCAGCTTGCTGTTGCAGTTCATGCTGTAGTTGCATTTGAAGTTGTGCTGGTGACTGGGGTGGGTGATGTGTAGGTTGAGCAGAAATTAATTCAGAAGCTTGTTTTTTATTTAATTCTTTGGCATCTAAATGTGGTTCTTTGCTGTTAACTGCTGGTAAATTCATAGAATCTAGTATTCCTTGGCTGGGGCTATTAACATTCCCTGCTACACTATTTCCGCTACTTATATTACCACTTGGTTCTAATTTTGCAGCCCTTGCCTTTGTCTGATGAAGCACAGATCTCATGTGGATTTCCAATGTAGAACTTTGGCTATATGCAACATTACAAATGCTGCATTTGTAGGGTTTGTTGTCAGTGTTGCTGTTGGTTTCTTGAGGGACAGGACTTGACGCTTCCTGCAAAACCTTTTTGAGTTTATGTAGATGGGAGACTGAGTTATAGTGGACCAGGAGAATGTTCTTTTGAGTAAAAGACTCTTTACATACTGTACACTTATATGGGCGAGATGGATCTAGAAATTTTTCCATAGTAAAATTTGGCCCTTTTCTAAAAGGTAAGGTTCGCTTTGGTTCTGAGCCCATATCATCTGGAATAGAGCTACTATCACTTCCTACAGGGCTTGCTTTACCTTCCTGGTCCATCTCATAATCTCTTTCTATTTCCTGCTCTATTGCATGATCATCTTGTCCCATACTTTCACCTTCTGCCCAGAGTTCACCATTAACAGGTAAAGATGCACACAGCTGCTGAAGTTCAGCTTCATTGAGTTCAGGGTGGCCTGCTTCCAAGTGTTTTTTTAAAGCCTGGAATGTACGGAAGCTACGTTGGCAAAGGCTACACATGGTAGCTGCCCGAATAGCATGATACTGGGAATGTATTTGAAGCTTCTGCATAGTCTTAAAAGCCAAGCTACAATGGTTACAACGGTACTTATAGACATGGCGGTCAGAAACAGAGAGCTGTTGCTTCTTCTGCTGTTCATTTAGCTGATCTGGCATTGAATCTGTGGTCTTTATATCTTTACTGCCACTCTTATTCCATTCTGGCGTTTCAGTAGATTCTTTAGGTGGCTTCTGCTCCTCACTCTTAATTTCCATTCCAGGTTTTGATTCATCAATCCCAGGAGTACTTTTCTCATCCACAGGACTTTCACCTAGTTAAAGAAAGTGTGTTTTACACAAGTAGAAGAGAATAACACACAGTATTAGCATTTTTTTCATCAGAAATCAAGAGTGGCACATAGTATGCTTTATGTTGGCCTAGTAAAGAATAGCAATCCATAATTTTTTCTTGCATACCTGAATATTTCCCAGATCCCTCAGCTGTAATGGTTGCAGGTGTGTCACGTTCAGATTTCTCTGAAGCAGCTGCTGGCAATAGCATATTATTGGGCATCATGACATCTGGTACAGGAACCTTGGAAAACCAAGAATACAGTATTATTACAGGAACAGTCACAAAGAAACATGAAATTAAAATTGAAAAGAGCACCACATCTCAAAGACTGCCAAGATTAAACAAATGCCTTGGTTCAGTCCTTGATAATGGCTCCTGATGGATCATAAAATCGGAGCACTGTCTGTCCTTCAGTAGAGGATAAACTCAAAAGAATCCACAATAAAGTGATGCCACAGAAGCACATACATTCAATATTTTACTGTGGTTAATGTCACTACAAAGAAGGTTGGTTGGGTTTATAATGGGAATTTCCCTTGGACTTCCTCCACAGATAGAGACTGTTCTGAGATACAGTCAGCAGTCAATTCTTGACTAAGGGTAATCACACTTTACCTTACCTGAATAGCTTTTTAAACAAATGATCTGTTAAAGAAAATTATAAGATGATATCCAAACAGAAGGAGCAACTTATCGCCATTTAAAATATGGGTATTCTCTTTCCTTTGTTCTAAATTCCCTATGTAAGTATCTTCTTCAATGTACTCTACGCGTCATGTTATGTTTGAATTCTAGACAGAAATCTTTGAAAGATGTGGTATTATAGATGTCTAATAGTTCTCAGTGCAGTTAAACTGACATGATCATTTGTTTGATGCTTCATGTTTTTCTTTCGTTCAGATTTAGTGACTTTGATTTTGTTTGGGCAGAAGGGACTTCTACAAAAATGACCTAGTTAACTGCAAATGTCCCAGAGATGAACATTTTACTCGAAATTTTGTCATTAGAGTTCAGATATGGACAGAAAATAGTAGTTTTATCAATTAGTAAAATTTTTTAGATGATGTTGATTATGTTTTGCAAGTAGACATTTTTCTCTGACAAAAAAAAAAAAAAGGGACAACTCAGTAAGCGAGAAAGACTACAGCATATACAGAGAATAGGACAGATTTCAAAGTTGTCCCATTATTAGCATAGAGGGAATCAAGAAAAACTTGAGAAGAAAGATAGCAATCCTCAACATCAAAGAATCATAGACTTGTTTGAGTTTAAAGGGACCCTTAAAGGTCATCTGATCCCACACCTCTGCAATGAACAGGGACACCTACAGCTAGATTAGCTTGCTCAGACCCCTGTCCAGCTTGTCCCCTTGAGTGTCTCCAGGGATGGGGCATCCACCACCTCTCTGGTCAACCTGTTCCAGTGCCTCACAATCCTTATCATAAAAAACAAACAGACAAACAAACAAACAAACAAACTTCTTCCTGATAACGAACCTAAATCTTTCCTCTTTAAGTTTGAAACCATTTTCCCTTGTCCTATCACATCAGCCCCTGATAAAGATTCTGTTATCTTCTTTCTTAAAGCCCTCCTTTAGACACTGAAAGACTGCTATCAGGTTTCCCTAGAGCCTTTTCTTCTCCAAAATATGGTGTTTTTTTTCACATTCGCTCAGTTTCCAAAAAGGGCCTCTAATGTTAAATTTCTACAGCACTCTCCTTGTGATAGGGCCAAATATACATAGTTTGGCAGAATTACACTAAGTAGAAAACTGAGGAAAAGAAAAGAAGAAAGAAAACTTTAAACTGTTTTTGTGATTTCCAATTCAGCATTGTTCATCAGCACCTGGCACAAGCATCTCCATTAAACATCTCTTTCAATTCTTTATTCTTCTTTGCCATTTTTGGTTAGGTGGCTGGCCTACCACTGCAGTGTTATAAATGAATGAGTTGTCTGTGGTTACAGAAATAAATCTTTAAGGATCTCTGAGATTTCCAAGAATGTATCCTGGTAAAAAAAGGTAAGACATCTATTCACTATGGTGTCTTGGGAAGTCTATTTTTTATCTGAAAATACAATGTAATAATAACAAAAAAAACCCTAGACTTGACTGTGTTTTTACTGACACTGGTTTACATAGTGTTGAGACATTCTTTTTCTAGGAAATTTATTATTTTGATATGGTCCGTGAAATTTCTCAGTGAAGAACAGGATTTCCCAAGTGAAATTTGACAAGATTTGTTTTCTGAACTCTGCCAAATGTGGGTAATCTATTTCAAATCTATGCCTTATCCAGGGTAGGTATTGAAAACAGGTATTCTTTATCCAGAAGAACTGCCCTGGATTTTTCACACTCATATTTTTTCACAAAAAATCTGAAGAGTTTATTAAGCAGAGGCAGAATGTAAAAAATGGGACATAGTGAAAAATATACTTGTGTTTTCCATTAATACTACTATTGATATTTTATGGTGAAATTCAAATAATATAATGAAAGTAGCACAGTTATACACAGGAATACATCTATATTTTGGCACTATATTTTACAGAAAAGTCCTAGGTTTTTTTTACAAATTTGAGTCAGGATATACCTGAGACCTGGATAGTGTTAGATTAAATTTACAGGTGTAAGCTCAGAGGAACTTGCTTACTCCAAGGTAAAGTCAATGAGGAACTGTAGATTTTCAGCATCTTTGAAATCCACCTCCAGTCCCTTGGAGAATTCCCAAGGGAAATCAGTCAACAGACAAACTGGCAACAGAAACCGAGAATCCTGATATCTTCCCCATCTCTGGCTACCAAAATGCACACATACACATACATTGCCAAGAGGCCAGAATACATTTCTGTAGTGTGTACTTCAGTATTTGGATCACTTACAGTCATGAGCAGCTTCTCCACACAGTCAGGTGACACACTGTGCAAATGGGTCAAATGAAGCTGGAGATGCATTTTGTTGCTGAGGACATCCTGGCAGAGGGGGCAGCAGATAACAGGTTGCATTGAATGCTGTGACAGGACATGCATCTGGATACGATTTGGGTCCCTACTATTGTAGTTACAATAAGGACACTGATAAAACTGAAAAACATCAAATTAAGATGCAGGACATTAGTCAATGTGCTTTAATAACTTTATGATATTGCTGTTTTAACAGCATGTCATCTTTGTTTTATTGTTATTTGAAAGAATTCTAGAGTACAATTAAATTCTTACATTTTCCTTTACCTGCTCATGACAAAATTTATTGTCCTCTGGAGGCTTTGATTTTTTAGCTGCACCATCCTCTTCTTTTGCCAGAAGAAGTTGTTGTGCCCCTACAACAGTGTTCACTTTTGGTTCCTTCTCTGGTGTGACTATTCCTGTTCCAAAAACAATTTTTAAGAACATATTTTAAACTTGAAAATACTGTTTTACAAAGAGGCTGTGATTCCAAAGGTCTGTGTTGTCTCTGAGGCTATTTTTTTTATGTTCTGAGAAAAAATACATATATTTGAGAAAACCAACTCTGGTAAGTATAAAAATGAAAACACTTTTATCTTGATGGATACTCTATAAATACATTTAAAAATGAACTATTTTCTACTGTTTAGATAACCTTAGGTTGCCTTTAAAGATTAATCAATAAGATGCTTTCTATAGCTGCTCAGTGTGAATTTGTGTATTACATTAAAACAAATCAGCTTTTGCTTAAAAATCCTGTTTTCCAAAATAATTAATTTGCTGATGTTTAATTACGCTCTCTCTTTCCTAAATTGTCTGAGCAATATGATTATTGTGGTGTTTTGATAACTCCTGCCTACTTACAATTCTGAAGCTAAATATAGTGAGGCTTTAAAAGAAATACTGTGGAGAATAGGATTTCAGAGCTAACTTAATATTAATTATATACAAAGATCAGTCATTTGGGATTGCCTTAGATGTTTACACTGTGAATTTTTATAGTCTGGCATTTGTGATCAAAACCAGAATATAATTGTTTTCTATAGATAGTTTTACTATTAAGTATTAAATACTATATTTAATATTATGCCTACTCTAGCTGTGTAATGTAGCCCAGTCTTGCACACATCAAAGAAAAGAGTGCAATTCTAATTTCCCAGTCCATCAGAAAATTCTTTCCAGCGTCAATTTGCCAGATAATCTCTTCTGCTAGGCTGGATATTACAAGAGCATTGGGTAGGCATGTCACATACATCTCACGACAAACACAAAACCTCATTTACCAACCATTCCAATCTCATCATAGTGCAGCATCATCTGACCTTTTTTCTGCTGTTTATTATGAGTATTTCTAATTTTAACTTTCAATTTTCACCATCTTCCAGTCAATTTGCAACTAAATTATTTCCAGGGTGAGGACACTATCACTGGACACTGGGTGCAAATACATCTTGAAATGCAATGAAGCTAAACCATTGATTGCTATCAGACCCAACGTAAATATATAGTCCAGGGGTAATCTGATTGTATGCTGTGCATGAAGATTTATCTTGATTTTTTTCAATCCACATAAGGTTCATATAAATGAACAAATTGCACCTCGTTGCACAATAACCTAGGATTAATTTAAAAATAAGGTCATGGATGTTTTGGCAACAAAGTAAACACGAACAAAGAAAATACTTGTATTTTTCTGCAGGCAAAATCAGTATCTTTTTCATTGTTATATCAATTATGTAGACTTTGTGCAACATTTGATATTAAAAGAGAAACATTAAAGAAAAGTAAAATAATAAAACAGCTTTCAAGGTAAATACCAAGTCCTCATGGTAAAATAATAAACAATTGAGAACTGAATCACACAGAGACATGTTCTGAAGGGCATTTAGGAAAAAAAAAAACAACATAAACATATTTTATGACTTATACATTAAAGCTGATTTCCCCACACATTGTTTCTCATTCCTAAGTTGGTAATTATTTCTTATGGCGTAATTTCGACCAGTATGTTCTCACTCAAATTAAAGTTTATTCCTGCCATATTTTCCTACTTTTAATTATCAATTTATCAGCATTGATTTAATATCTGGATAAGCTGCTTTCTGGAGCCTCCCTGAATTTTTACACTCTGAAGACCTGTTCCTGGAGGCTTCATTTTGATGGCTCAGTTAAGAGATGTACCTACAACCTGAAGCACTGGTGAAGCTTAAAGGTAAAATCTACATGCTACAGCAACAAAAGATACCGCTTCATTACTCAGTTTGGTTTATGATAATTCAGTTCTCACTGGCCTAGCCACATTTACTTGGCAACACATCATTATTATTTAAATGTCTTTACTGTGAGAATTATAGAAAGTAAAAAAGTGACATACTATATTAACGGAGAAAGGTTGCTTCTCAGACTTTAGAAGGATAGGTTCAAATTATTAACCTCTCTTCATTTCCAACTGTCAAAAACGTCTAACAGTTGACTACTGTTTCTTACCTATATCATATGCCACTTTTAAAATGCTTCTTTTAAAAGACAAATGGGGCAGAATCTCAGCTGGTGTAAAGTGACATCGTCATACAGGATGCTGAATTTAAAAAGCAAGTAAAACAATTCTGCTTTCTTTTCCCCTTTTCACATCAGATTGTTTTTGACATTTTGTTACAGAAATTGGGATCCAAATTCTGCTCAAAAATCCATTTGTGAAAATGCATTTAGCACTGTTTTTGGCATTGGTATGCAACTGCTAATGAAATTGAGTTTGGAGTACACTCTGTGCGTCTCGGTACACAAAAGGTTAATATTATACATCATCTTCCACCAGAGGATAGGATGACTTGATTACTTCAAAGGGACAATAATAATTATGAAACACATTGTTCTCGTTTCAAGAAAAACAAGTATTTTTTTGGTTAAATTTTCTTTTGTTGTTAATATAATAAAATTATGGAGTCATCAAACACTGTGCTGGGGTCAATGAATGCATATAAGAGCACAGCTTTTTACTATGATTACAATGATATTTATATAAATTGTGGAAATTTAGAGACTTTTTTGTTTGCGTTGTTGATGTTGCTCTGGATTCAGTCAACCCCAAGCCCTTTACTTTCTACTGAACCCAAGTTACATCTGGACAATAGAACACTAACTGACAGGTTTGAAGAAAAAGGGTCTGATTCCTCAACCTGGGGTGAAGCCACATGCCCCTATGCATGGAGTGGATGTAATCCCCAAGGCAGAGCAGCACTTTATGCCTGGTCCTCTCTTGTCACAAGTGTAGCTGCAAAAGAAAAGGAGGTTTGGACTCCCTGTGCAAGAGAACAGTCCAGCGTGTAAAACTTAGCTCCTTGCTGTATCAACTTTTCATTTTCTGTATTGGATTTAGTGTTTTAAGGAGCTTCCTGCAGAGAGGCTGAATAAAGTTATGGCCTTACAGATAGCGTACTGAAGGAGGAGAGGGGAGGAGAGAAAATGTTACAGTCCTGAGCTTGTGGTGTGGCACTGTTTTCATAGCTGAGTGTTCCACTGGCATGCTCTTCTTAATATGCAGCTGGAGGAAGAGACTAAATCTGTTGTTGTTCATGTTTTAAATACAAATTTTCTATTTTTGAGAAACATTATTTGTGTTTTTTTTTTCTCAATTGTGAAATACAACTTCAATACATTTTGTAACACAGAACACAATGTTGTTTTAGATGAATACCGTACTTTCAAAACACTTCGCTGAAAAGCCAAGATTAGTTCAAAATAAGTACCACAAAGTAGACTAGTTAATGATTAACTGTCAGTTACAGAATTAGTTAACTTGTCTAATATTGCTAATACAAAAATGACATATTTCATTGCAATTAAGATGCCATCATGTTTGTAGCATGTTTGAAATCCCAAAACAAAAATGTAAACTTTTGCGTGACTGATAAGTGGGAGAACGCTAAAGAAAGAAAATCCTCAAAAACCTGCAATCAAAATACTGTCTTGTTATTTATGAATCCTTGTATTTGATAAAGATTGCATAATTTAAGATTTCTGACACATCAGATTATGTTATTCAACTTCAAAATAATTCTAAAATTATAATTACTGGTATTCTTTCTAATTAGAGGAGAATGAAAGGATAATTTTCATTGCAATAATGAAGGTTAATTTCCATCCTTCCTCATGTTTACTACCTTATTAAAAAGTGCTCCCCTTAGCCATGGCAAAGACATATTACATTTTCAATGCAAATGTATTAATCTGGATAAATTCCATATTAATTCTTGCACTGCATAGAGCTGTAATTTGGATTATAATTAATCTAAAGTGGCACTAGATTTAACTGACAATATAAATGAGGCATTAGTAGGCTTTTCTATTCTGAATGAATATTCAACAAATATAACTTGCATATTGCCAAGTCTCATTTTGAAAGCTCTACTCCTTGAGATAAGGTAAGCAATACAGCACAACAGCTTACACAAACATGCTGTTACTAAATACATGTTAATCCTTCCTCGTCTAATAGATTCTATGCTAAAGAGGGGTCACACCACTTTCCTGTCCAACTTGTTAGTATTGTGATTAATTTATTGGTTTTCCTGAGATTTCTCTGGCAAGAATTGCAACACTCAATTCACGAGAAAGCCCAAATTAACATTCAATTATACATAAGCAGTTATATAGTCATTAGAAATACTTGTCAGCTGAGTGAAAATTAAGATGATGGTCTGCATGATACATATGGAGAATTAATTTAGATTATGAAAATAAAAGTTTCTAAAAGATTGAGGATTTCATAGTGCAAACCGCTTTCTCTAAAGCTCAAAGGCAAATCTTGTATTTCAGCCCTTGTTTGTATATGAATCTTACTGCAATGTTATTTTTGTAATTGCTGGCACGGGAATGCAGAACAATTATGCTGTTTTTTTGTTTTATTTTTTTTTTTCTGTAGTGCACCCAGTAGGCATCTGGATATAGGTTTGTCCTAATTAAACTTGGCCCTTATGAGCAGCTAATCCTGATGGAATTTTGAGAATTCCCCTTCAGTATTTTTTTTCTAGATTCCATCTTTTCTTTTTTTTCTCAAGTTTTCATATTATATTCTTTCTTGAACAGCTAAAAAATGGACCTAAGAAAATAAGAGCGCTGATAAACTCCCTGAATCACTTTCCAGTGTTCCCTAGGACAGAGTATACGGTGAGCAGTGTGAGCTCCAGGTAGCTGTCATCTTTTTCTTGTTGACGGGCAGACCCTGACAAAACTGCAGGAGACTTATGTCTGCTTTAGAGTATGGGTTTACTGCACCACAGACAGCTCTTTCAAAGACAGCTAAAGGGAGATATTTGTGGGTCACTCCAAAAGTAATGCCTCCTCTGCCTTTCTGTGGAAACCACAACAGATACAAAGACCACAGTAACACTATTTGATAGAAAAAATAGCTACAAAACAATATTTTTCAACATAGTCACCATCATTAGCTATGAATTTTCACCAGTGATGAACAAGAGAGCCTGCATGCTATGCACATTAAAATCTGCACCAGTGAAACTGCTGAAACACACCACCCACCACCTCACTGTGATCACAGCCACTGTTTCATCTCCATAAATGTTCAGCAGGCATTGAGGAATGTCAGTGGCTGATTTTTTTTCCGCATGGAGGAATTCAATTGCACACTTTTGCTTCATGTGCACTTCCATGTCAAACGCCATTTTGTCAGACTGCCCCTCTGCTACCATCTGTCACATGGCAACAAAATGCAATGGAACACTGTTGGGGAAGTTCATCCTCTACTGCCATACCACCAGTGTCCACCTCTGACATCATGGGCCAACATAGGAGGTATTACTTTCAGGGCAGCCCGTGTATGTTTTAAACCACAACACAGTTTCTTGCTCAACATCATCCTTGACATCATCAGCGTTACTTCAGATTTGTGATCTCTAAAAATAAAGCAACTGAAGAGCAGCTAAGGTTCTAAACTGTGAATGGATAGTGACCTTAGCACATCAACAAGCAAGATTAAAGGAAGCTTTATCTTTCAGTCAGTCTTCTGAATTAATCTGGCACAGAAAGGGCTACATATTTTTTATTATTTATTTTTTAAAATTAGTGAAAAAATGTTTAGAATGTAAGAGCAAAATATAGTATGGGAGAATTTGGATATAAAGAAGATAATGTAAAATTATATTTTCTCTACAACTATACATCTTTATGGAGAATACAACCTCCTTTGTATGCAGCTGTCATTGGCATACAAGGAAAAGATATATGACTACCTGAAACTAATAGGCTTCAACCTGTTTCAGCACTTCTTCTGCTTCAATGAATCCAACATAATGTAACTAGGTATAGCGTGCAGCAAAAGTAGCCAATGTAATATTCATTGTGACCATAGATTTCCATCTCATACATAAAAAGCATGGATGAAGTCACGTATTTGCCAAATCAAACACACAAAAAGCCTTGGGTATCTACACCAGATGCTGGCCCTGGGTTTGTTTGTGCACAAGTAAATGTCATGACATGGGGGTTTGTTTTCAAAGACAGTAGCTTTCATTACTGGGTTTTGTCTATTCCAGGAGATCAAAATTACCCAACCCATATAATCCATTTTCAATGATATTTCCTCTTTCTTAGGCTGAATCATCTGTAAACTTTTTCAATGGATTTTGTGTATTTTTTTCAAAATGCCTCAAATAAATGCCGAGGAAGAGGCCAGATTCTTGGGAGTAAGTGATCAGAGAGCAAGAACAAAAAAATAATAATAATAAAAACCCCACATTCTTTGGGTTAAAAGCGGGGCAAAACCTGATTGAAGAAAAAATTCAAGTGGTACCTAATCCTATGCTTATGAAAAATTAATATGCCATCAGAGGAATCACAAGTACAGCTAAGATTAATGAAAGGCGCTTAAAAAATTACAAGCACACAAACTGATTTGATTAAAAAATAATCTCACTGGTCGTCCTGTAATATTCTTCAACTTATCCGCATCTATCCTGTCAGATGGTTATGATTAAAAATAGGTCAATGGGAGGCTACTGATAGAAATCACATGCAAAATGCACATGCAATGAATAGTAGTGGGAATGTCCAGACAGTTTAAAATGAAAGAACATTTCATAAGTTAAAAAAAAAAAAGAGGAAGACAAAGTTCTAGCATCTTACCAGAGTCCTTACTAGTTTTTTTAGCTTCAGTATTGTCTCTCTCACTTGAGTCCTTATCATCACCAACAGCCACTGATGTACTTTTAGCAGACCCTTCTGTATCTTCACCTTGTTCTTCTGGGGAAAAGCATAGAAAAAAGATCCAACTTAGTGGCCATTCCACAGCAGGTAAAAAACTCTTCAAAAGAGCTCTTCAAGCACTTAAAGAAGTTGCCAAAATAGGGAAGAGATGAAGAAAATGTAGAGAATGGCCCTTTAAGGAGATTGGACATTAATTAGGAATAATTGGCAATATTTCAAAATCTACCCAGAAATTCCAAATGTGTCTTTATCAGAGTATCCACTTCCCACCAGCATACCAGATTTAAAGCTTATCATTTCATATTCTTTAGCAAGAAATTACTTGTGTTAAAATGCACGCATACAGATGCACACATATACCATGCCAGCTTGAACAAAAGCAAGCCCATGTAAAAATGTATCTTTAAGCCAAAAAAAGAAAAAAGAGAAAAAAAGGGGAATTCAAATATAAATCCTATTAGTACAGCAGTATCCCGCTAATTGCAGTAAGTAAGTATTAGGTATTAGGTACTGTATTAAATATAAACCCCTGGCTTTGCGGGAGAAGTCTCAAATTTTGTCTCCAGGGGGAGCCATTCAGGATAAATGATACAACTTGGTACATGGCTTCTGAGGAAGCAGCATTACCCACACCTCACTTACGTGTTCACACCAGCTAGATTACATGGAAATCTTCACAGTAACTCAAGCCTATTTAATTATTCTGTAAATCTTAGCTATGCTGCTACTGGTGGATTAATCTGTTTATGCAGTTAGCTTCTATGCTGGGGTTGTGTAGCACTAATCCGTGAAAGGCCCACTGTTCCTTTTCATCCTGTGATCATTTGTCTCTCACTGTGCTGATGTCACATTTTAATGAATTTTTAGCAATCTGAGTAATGCCAGATAACCAGACTTGCAACTCCCCACAGCATGGCATGCTGTTTTCATTGCAGCACAAAAAAAAAAAAAAAAAACACCAAATCATATTTCTCAGTTCAGGTAGGAATTATATAAATTAGGAGGTGAAGGTAAAATGGGATTCAAAGCGCCAAGCTGCTCAATTTCATAAAATCTTTAATGACCATATAAATTAACCCTGGAAAGGCAAAAGGTCACAGACACACATTTGCATACACTCTTCTATTCACTTTTGATAAGCAGAGCTTTTATGCAGGGAACATGATACAATTAACCCTTCAGGAACCATACAAAATGCAGCTACCGACATTTTAAGTGTCAAGCATTAACTGAAAATTACACACTGCATAAAATTTTCATTGTAAATGCTATAGTGATTGAAAGGGGAAATAGTGGCCCTCTTCGCACCCCATGTTTTATTAATAACATTCTGACAGCCGAATGAAATATCCTCTGTCATATATAGCAGCTGAGCACAAAAAAAATTGCTGCTTAGTGCCTTACTTGCCAGCCATGCACTGAAACTGTACGCCCAGGCAAACAACCCTCAGATCGATGTGGTGAACCTATCTGATTCTCAAAACCTTTTGTAAATCAGGAAAAAATAAAAAAATAAAAGGAGAGAGAGGAAAAGAAGTCCAAACAAAACAGCTGCAAATTTGGAAATCGAAAAAAAAAAAAAAAAAATCAACCACAGATCAATGTGTTTTGCATTGACATTAAAATACAATGGTTTAGCGCTAAGCATGCATGTCCACCCTCTGGAACAATACAGGGAGAAAGACTGACCCCTCTCCTAAAAATAACTGCATACTAAAAAATTTCCATCCAAATGGATCCCCTCTTGTGCTGTTTTAGCACTCTGCCTGCTGCGACCCCGCTCCCTCCTGCGATGATAGCTAATCAAACATGGGAGCCATCCCGGCTGCAGCTGGAAGCAGGGCCATGTTTGTCCGACTGGCAAGGGAGCACAGTTCGGGATGCTGTGAGCCTGTGATCCTGCCTGCATCGGGCTGTGTTAATGCCAAGTGAACACACATGAGGCTCGTATCCAGTGTCAGGCCCTGTGGCCTCACAGAGCCCGTGGCAAATCCCTTCTCGACTCATCCTTGGGAACGGTCGCACTGCTTCTTTTAGTAGATTTACTGGCCCAGTTCCCCTGGGCTGGAAAATGAAGTGTCAAAGTGCTACTGAGTGTCCTTATCTTGAGGGGACATAAAATTGTAAGGGCTATCGTGGCACACATTAATAAAACATTGTGTGTGTGTCAGGCAAAGAGAAAGAAAATTATGAAGGTACTAAAAGAAAAGCTACAGTATCATCTGGGTCTCATCAGACAATTTTTGCAGGGTGCTCTCCTGTTTTTCTGGTATGTGTTTTAAGTGTGAGAGAAATTCCCAGACATGTTCTCCTATACATCATCGTGGTGTCTGACCTCAGCCTGACCCTGGCAACAGTTTGAGAAATCTGAATGTGAACAAAGACTCTGTGTCAGCAGCAGGGAGAGATTGCGGGATAGACTTTCCCCATCAACTTAATCGCAAACAGCAGTTCTGAGGCCATAACTTTACAGGGCTCCACCAAGCCACAAACACGTAACCTTTAGAGGTGAAACTGCCCCCTGCTCCCCACCCCCACCCCCTTCTGTGATTTTTCTCAGTCTTGTGGTGCTCCCTTTGATGTAGCAAGGCAATTAGCTCTAATGTTCAAGTGCTGCAGACCTGTTTTATGGTTTGGAAGGTGAGAGCTGTTTATTACAGGTAGGCTCCTGGGGGCCATAAAGACTTTGCAAATTTTTAATCATGCAAAAAACTAATCAAAATGTAACTTATACACACCATAAAAATTAATATCATTATTATGCACAGTATAAATTGCCTGCCTTGGCTTTCAATGGCACTCACTTCTAGAAAATACATTTGGCATTCATTTCAGAAATATGTATGGTATTCTCTTCAGGAATAAATTTCATAGACAGACATGATAATACAACTTCTCATATTTTTCTTCAAAATTACAGAAAGGCTGTCTAAGATTCACACTATCGAAACATTTATCAAAGGGACAGGATGGAAATCCAACAGCTCTAACTTAAAAGTAGTAAATTTACAACAACAACAAAAATCCTTAGAAAGACTGTTCATGTTCATTAGAATAGATAGCGAGAATGTCTAATGAAATGTGCTATCAAAAAAAAATCTACATACCTATGCAAAAAGAATAACCGACAAATATCTCTTTTGAGTAAAATTTTTGTTCTTACTTCAAATGCTAAGCAATAAGAATACTATTCAGTAATAAAAAAATGCAGTGATTCCTGCTGAAAATCAACAAAACACAGTGTGATGGGGCCACAGGTTCCAGAACAAGTCCTAATACTCTATTATAGATTTACAAGAGTCTTGCCTATATACATTTACAAATGTCAGCTTTGAAAATGAATAGACCAGCAGATTCAACTGTATAATGGCTTTAATAATACTTACTATTGAAATATGATATTTTATTCACACCTGGTTTTATTTTGTCTAAATGTTGAAAATTTCTTTTGATGTTGGATCTTTTGAATTTATACATTATCAACTTTTTCCTCATAGCTGACTTTGAATTAAACACAAAAAAGTGAGGTTAGCATAGTCTGAACTAAAACTGTCAAATCATGGAAAATGGAGTTAAGCTTTATAAGCAAAGTTAATCAGCTGATATTGCATATTACGTATTCTACATCATATAATTTAGTATGTTAATCTACACTCTTGGGCCCCAATTCTATACCAATTTCATAAAAGACCCTTATGACCTTCATGAGTTCAATGAAGTCAAGGTGTGTGATGCTTTCAATTGTAAAATCCAGGCCTCAACCTAGCTGATACTAGCAGCAACTTAGATGAATATCCATATATATATAGATAGATTAGAAAAGGCAGATTGCTGAGAATACATCCAGCATATGAACAATACTACCTTTTGAAATAAAATATGAAACAGTTAAAACAAGATAAAAGTCAGAGTGGAAACTTCACTGGTATATGAAACAATTCATAGTAATGACTGTTTTGGTCCTAAATTTTGTTGTTGTTGCTGTTAGTATCCCTTTTGCACTATCCAAATTGCAAGTAATTACCTAAATGGGGATGACCTACTAGTTGTGGGTGAGTAATTGTGGTTATAAGAGAGAAAGCAAGATTAAGCAAGTGTTTGTGGCTGAGGTCCGGATGAAAGTGGAAAGAATAAATCAATCAGCTGAAGTTGTAAGTGATAAATAGGAAATGAGAGATAAATTAATACACATACATATATTTGGTGTTTGTTATTTAATACGTTCAATTAACAGCTGAATCAGTGGTACATATGAATGTTCAGCACAGGTGTATCCCATGTTCATCTGGAAGAAGAAGTGACTTAATGAGATTGTCAGGATGAGAATTAACCAGCAGCAAAAAAAAAAGGAAGGACAGATTGGAGAAATGGGCTTGTGTTAGATAATGTAGAGAAAGGAGGAACAACAAAAGAAACCAAAGAAGAAAAACCCAATGAGTATGAAAGGAAAGAAAAAATAGAATTAAAAGCAAGCTGTGTGGATTTTCTTCTGGATTACCTCAGCTGCTCTACTTGGGTTCTCTCTGACTTCTGAATTACAGTTTATTTACCCAAATATTTCAGAAAGTATTTATTTAATTTTCTGGCTAGTCTTGCAGAGCATGAGTAAGGAACAGCATGACCTACACATTCAAGATCTTGACTGCATTCTCTAGTGGTCATATTTCATCTTCAAAAAGGATTGCTAATTTCTCATATAATGACTCAAGGGGAATAACAACACCAACCTGTTAATAACTGTTTCTAATCACTGTGTTATATTTAAAACTATTGCTTTTAGAAGGCTGAGCTTCCTGCAAACAAGCGTATAATTAAGTGATGATCATCATATTGACTGCTAACCTGGAGTTTGTATCAAACTGTACCATTTTGTTTTGTGGTGCATCATTTGATTTTTTTTTTTTACAGCATTCTGATGCTTATTTTCTTCTGGTTTATTACTGTGTCAGAAAAGCCCAACTGCAAAGCTGGCCAAACAGAGCACATCATGCTGCTTCCCAAGCAGCATCACAAATCACACCCACCCCACCCAGCAG